TCATAGCTAATACCCCACCAAACCATCACTGAAGTCGGATAGTGCCCACGTTGCACTCTGTCGACTAATTGGGAAGCTTCCTTAGAGCTTTGATCATAAATACGGTCATTTTGTTTGTTAAAATGTTGCTCAATTGTAAAAATTTTCTCATCCGTAAACAAAATTTTTCTATGACCTCCCTTTGCGTACCGCTTCAGTAGTTGTTTCGATTTTACCACCCTATTCTCTTTTAAATTATCAGTAAAGAAATGACCAGTACGTCCCTTATAGGCTGCAAGTCCTAAGTCATCTTTTAAAATACGCGACATGGTCTAGGTGTTATCTTCACGAACGAACGATTCTTCGTAATTTTCGTACGAACACTACGTGGACGGCCAGATCTTTTTCTGTCACAAACAGAGGAGGTTTCATTGCACCTATTAATAGCCCGGTACACAAACATTTTACTAATACCAAGCGTATGAAGAGTTTTAAAAATTGCATTTGGCTCCATACTTACTTTGTGTAATGCAATCACAGCGATTCGGTTCTCTTTATCCCCCACTCCATTTTAATATCGCAAAATATTGTTCAATGTATTAGCGCCAAAATGAGCAATCATATAAAAATGACAGATTCCAAATTCAAATGTAATATTTTGTTTATTTTTAATTGCAATAGTATTTATGGCCAGACTAAGTATAGTTTTTTTCGTGGATTCATGAAGTATAATGTACAATTTACCAGGTGCAATGATGGCATCCGTTATCGCAGTTTCGACTCGACTGCGCCCTGACCGCTAACGCCCCGCGCTCGTCCATCATAACGATATTAACGCTTACATCGACAATATTGTATTTCATAATATTATTACTTCGTTCTTTTTGGCCGCACTGAATTAGGACTTACACTATAAAAACCAAAGCGAAACGAAAACAAAATTAAGTGACATTGATTAGCCATGAATTTGTAGTATATCCTGTTTTTTATTTAGTGCTTAGATGGCTGGACGAGCTCACGGCCCACCTGATGTTAAGTGATTACCGGAACCCATGGACATCTACAAAGTAAATGCTGCCACCTACCTTGAGACATGAGTTCTAAGGTCTGTTTTTACAGTACAACGGCTGCCTCGTCCTTCAAACCGAAAAACATTACTGCTTTACAGCAGAAATAGGTAGGGAGGGTTAGGTTACATACCCGTGCGGACTCACAAGACGTCCTACCATCAGCACCACGCAAATTATAATTATGCGGGTTTGATTTTTATTAGACGATGTTATGCCTTAGAAGTCAATCGTGAATAATTGTTAAGTACGTATTTCATTAGAAAATTGGTACCAGCCAGCGGGATTCGAACACTGACTGATGTATCGCTTGATACGATTTCACCGGCCGTCTTATCCGTTAGGCCACGACGACTTAAACACGGCAATGTTTTAGAATACATGAATACTATACAGATAGATGAAGACCATTTCGATGGAGTGAATTAAAAAAAAAAGTTGAGTCTGTGTCGATATCTGAATAGTCGAACGAACAGAGCGACGTGTTGTAGAAAAACAAATTGGGGGTTCCACGTGTGTCCTCTAACCGGCATCCGAAAGGCTGTATTTGTTGTGTATCGCACTAATCGGCTTAACCGCTACATTCAATCGCTCCCATCTATTGGGCCTTTCAACTGACATAATCGAAGGCGTTTCGAGAATTTATAGGAATTAATTCCCAGTTTGTTTGGCGCATTGTCGAGCTACCGACAACTCAGGCCATTGTGTAGAGTGTTATTATTTATTTAATAAACGGCGACAATTTCTTTTGTTAAAATGTTTTCAATTAATGCTCAACGGAGGCGTTGAATTGAGCTCTTTGAAAAATTGCCAGTTGATATTTCAGATCTATGGGGTATTCACACAAGATTAAGAATTCCTGACAGATGAGGCAATTTAAATTAAGATAAAGAAAATTTGAAGTACTAGTTGACCCGGCAGACTTCGTAGTGCCTCAATCGAAAAATAAGAGACCTAAACTTATATAAAATAAACTTAAAACAAAAAAAAGGAATCCGTCCGACGGTTGACACATCAAAGGGCAAACAAAATTGTTATTTTTATTTAATTCCGAGCATTTTCATATTTATCTACTTTTTAAACCTTCTCTGGACTTCCACAAATAATTCAAGACCAAAATTAGCCAAATCGGTCCAGCCGTTCTCGAGTTTTAGCGAGACTAACGAACAGCAATTCATTTTTATATGTATATCAAGTATAGTTGCATTTAATTTGATTTATTTGTAGTTTTAAAATTACTAAATATATTATTCGTTGTAGGTAAGAGACAGCCGACGTTTAATCGTCAATAAACGAACAGTAAATAAACAGAGTAAATAGAACAGGTGAAATAAATAGCAATAGTTACAGGTATTTCAGTAATCGGGTCGCAAGCTATCGCTGTTGGCAGCTCGTGATTAGATAAACGGCCGGGACTGGTAAATATTAAACCGGTAAACAATCATTGGTCACCTTTACGTATGTACTCGGGTGATGCCAGATTGATCTGTTCACGTACACGCCGGTACAATTTCAATAAATACTTACGCAATTAAATTCCATAAGACTATGAACAAAACGATATACTTGAACATGGTTTTGTATCATAATTTTCATTTCAAATCAACATTTTCTTATTACGGTTCGCATAGAAAATATAAGTGTATAATATGCCATATTAAAATATCCGCTACGATCATTTTTCATCCCCTGTGTGGAAGAAACTAGTAAAAGTAAAAGTGTCAATCATATTATTGTACTTAATTCAAAGTTAATATTTTGTTTATTATTATGCTTAGAAAATACAACTAAGTATTCCCTATCAATCTGCAACGAACTTACCAGTCCGTGCGTAGCTGGAATAACCCTTTAGGGTACCAGTGATTAAGTAGGGGGAAAAACATGACTATTTATTATTACTAATAATGAAATTTAAAGTTTTAGCTGCTCTAGTTTTAGGAGCTGTAAAGCACTCTATGCATATGTTTTAAATCAGATCCTAAAGGTAAGGGAGCTGACTCAATAGGGCCCAGTTTCCTTGTACTATTGATATCCATGATAGTAACTGCTTTCACTGGCACCAAATGGCCATAATCAATGATTGTTTTATATTTTACTTCGAAATGTACGCGTAAGCTATACATAACTGTTCATTTCACGAAAAACCTAGAGTTAACTTCACACACAGATAACCTCCAAATACATAATAATAATAAATAATACAACGTTATTTTTGTTCAATTAAATCGACATTGTAATAATGTTTGAGAATGCGTTTAACACTAAAGCTAAGATCCCAATGTAATGGTTGATCACTTACTGAAATATATCATTTAACCAGAGTTAAAAATTTAGTTAAGCAAAATTGTAGTCTTTGAAAAAGGTTCAGTACCTATTATTATTTATTATCATTACATAAATACAAAAAAAGCAACTTTCGTGAATAGAATACGTAGGTGTAAGTTTCGTAACTTACAAAAATTCATATTGTATCGATTCCACAAGTTATAATATCCAAATACGTTCAAAATACGTAAAAAAAACTAACATAAATATACTTGTGACTTGCGGCACTGTCTCGTCTAATCGAAAATAGCAAGAAAAATAGGTACAAAAATTGGTGATAACGTCCTGTTTATTTATCTAATGCTGTCATCGAACGTTTTTTAACGAATTGTGGAAACTGTGAAGTTATCAGCTCTTCGATACAACCATTAGTACAAACGTGTGATGTTCAGTGAAGCATATTTATTACCACTACACAGATTGGTGAAATTATTGGTAGGGTGATATGTAAAAACAATAGGTACCTGTAGCCTGTGGATGCTTCAACTGAAATAATTTCCGAAACGAAACTCATTGTATTAATTCTGGCTGGGCTGAGTTCCTCATAGTTTCTTACGTTCAATTCGTCGATGCTACGCAATAATATAGAAATAAAAGAGTTTGTTGATTTAAATCAGTTTAATAATCTGATTATAATTTAAATATAACACGTTTTATACAGCCTACTGCACTATATAAATGAAAATAAAAGAATTTTAGGTTTTACTTTGTTTTAGGAGTCAATTTTTTGTCATAAACCGAAATTAATATTTAATCGAATCTATGTCTTTAGTTCAATCGTGAAAGGAAAGCTAACTTTAACTGATTTTTTTATGTATTAAAAGTTAACATTGACGCTCTAATACAGTCACTTATAATTTATATATTAAAATGTAAATAATGTAACAAGTGAACATTTTTTTCAATAGGCAGGTAACTGATCACTCAAACCTCTATTTACACAATGTACAATTATCTTCTCTATCTCTCACTAAATCTACCGAAAACGTATTTAATATAAAACATTTGGAATATACATAAATAATTATTGACTAAGCATATTATTCGACTATGATAATACTGGAACTTACAACTAAATATTGCATTCTCGATAAAATATTGTCATTTCCTACAATTAATCTAAGGAAATAACCCTTTTTACGTAGATAATGTTTTAATATAATTAAGTATATCAGATGAGTTGGAATGTATTTTTATCACTAAGAAATCAATTATATGTTCATTCAAAAATATTATTAGACACTTAAATAAAATTTAAACGACCTCCCCTCACTTTAGGTTCGATTTTCTAAAAATATAATACAAATAATTAGGAACTCCTTATACCTTAAATTCCAATAGCTACTATAAAATATTCGAGGTGTTGTTTTTGAATTCCACTTTGCACAATTTTACATAAATGCTCACACTACATGACAGAATATAGAATTAAGACACCTTTAGAAATTTTGATCCTCGCTTATCGCTAAATTCATAATGGAATGCGTGAACCCTATATTGACGATGTCAAAAATTTGTATGATAACCACATTTCAACCAAGTTGACACTAAATTAGCGAATTAATGAATTCAACAAATATACAGCTATACTATATTGACTAGTCAGCCATGGTGTTTGGTCGGTGGTCTTCACCACCAGCAGCCGCTCGACTGAGGCGGATGGCCCGCTACTTGTTGGTGATGCATGGATTGATGGTAGGGAGGTAAAGCCATACCTAGGGGAGGTAATCCGTCCGGCTTGCCGACGCAAGGTCTACCATCCTTTACTAAAACCGGTACGGCAACACGTCGTGGAGAATTCAATCCACCGACGTTCAAGTCATGTGCGCCTTTTTCTTGAACAGCACGTTTCGTCTTGTACCTGTGATTTTGGAACCAAATCTTCACTTGCGTTGGCGTCAGTCGAATCAAGCTGGCCAGATGCTCTCTTTCGGGGGCAGATAAGTATCTCTGCTGGCGAAATCTTCTCTCTAGTTCGTACGTTTGTGCTTTAGAGAAGAGAACGCGGCGTTTTCGTTTTTTATGCGTTAGGTTGGGATCGTTTGAGGCATTGAGGTGGTCGTGGTCATTTTCCTCGTCTTGTTCGATGTCGTGATCATCGTGCTCATGGTCGTGGTCGGAGCGCGGCTCTGCGAGGTGTGGCGATGTTGCCGACGGACCGACATAAGATAATTCCGAAGCACGAGATGTACTATCGGGACTTGCTTGCTGGCCTAAAGTACCTACAACAATAGAAAAAAAAAAACTTAATTAAAAAACGTTTACATTTTTCGTGGGCAGCTTTAGATGGAAGTTTGATTAAATATTGCGTTTTAAAAAAATATGCTTTAAATATTACTACTAGTGTGAATTATTACTACTCTCAAAATACTAATGTGAAAACACGGTTTATTTCTTTTGTAATTTCTTCTGGGAATAATCCCAAAAAAAATTACATAATAAATATATTCTACGTAAATGCGCCACCCACCTCGAAATATAAGTTCTAATGTCTTAGTATAGTTACACCTACCCTTCAAACCGAAACGCATTACTGCTTCACGGCAGAAATAGGCGGGGTGGTGGTAATTACCCGTGCGGACTCACAAGAGGTCCTACCACCATTAAGGATAATTCTCCCTGAATAACATCCTGAACCAATTGCTGAAAAATCTACATTTATTACGTACTGGCGATATATTTTTTTTATTGCTTAGATTGGTAGACGAGCTCACAGCCCACCTGGTGTTAAGTGGTTACTGGAGCCCATAGACATCTACAACTTAAATGCGCCACCCACCTTGAGATATAAGTTCTAAGGGTCTCAGTATAGTTACAACGGCTGCCCCACCCTTCAAGCCGAAACGCATTACTGCTTCACGGCAGAAATAGGTAGGATGGTGGTACCTATCCGCGCGGACTCACAAGAGGTCCTACCACCAGTAATTACGCAAATTATAATTTTGCGGGTTTGATTTTTATTACACGATGTTATTCCTTCACCGTGGAAGTCAATCGTGAACATTTGTTGAGTACGTATTTCATTAGAAAAATTGGTACCCGCCTGAGATTTGAACACCGGTGCCGCGGTGCATCGCTCAACACTTATGCACCGGACGTCTTATCGCTTAGACCACGACGACTTTTTTATTACTATTACTATTACGAGTATCACGCCAAACTTATAAAATGATTTGCATTGTCATTAGACATTGATATGTGCGCAAATTTTAAAGTTAATCGGATGTCTTGATATTGGTGAAAATAATTGTGGAAAATTCTATTACATAAATACATGGTTTGAGATTAAACTAAATAAGAACCTATTACGACAAAAAAAAATGCGAAAATAAAAAAAACATTTCAAATGCATGCCAAATAAAGATAACTTTGTTGGCTAGGCTTTTTTTACTCACAGCCTAGTATAATATTGCCTGCTAACCGATTATAAAGTAGCATTGGAGGAAGCTGGTGCAAAAACTGGACCAAGGTGGTCACGACCCTCAGCAATGAGGAAACGACAGAGAAGAAGAAGAAGAAGAAGAACCGATTATAACGATATCAGGTTAGTCGGCGACATCAGTCCCGTCCGTAGATAATATTAGGGCCTAGTAAAGAGAGAGAGCCCACTTAGTTTCTCGCCGGATCTTCTAATTGGGTCGCAATTCCAATTCAGTAGTAAAATCAGGGAAACACCGCTCTTGCTAAGGCAGATGTTAGCAAAATCACCCAGACTGAGCCCCGTGAGCATGCCTACAAGCTAGGATAACCTCTCAAGCTTACTAGCGGTAGGTACGCAAAAACAGGAAAGAAATGTGTTTTATATCACATATTACCATTTTCGTGAATCGGCTGGGTATTCAGTACGAGTATCTTAGTCATACGTACGTACGAGTACATATATTAGGGTATATATAGTACGGAAGGTGTACCAAAATCGAATAAACCTCAGTTCCAAAATACTTAATTGATACAAATAAAAAGCGCTAAAATAAAATTGTATACCCAATTATATATCTATAGCTACACCACAGCATACTTTGTAATCTGGTTGTTTGTTGCAATCAAATCTAAATCTCCACTTAATACATGAGGGGTGCTCCATGAAATATTAACTAGCCGAAAGAGCGTCAGATAGAAATATACAATGCGACAAGAAAAAATCACAGCAAATATCATTACATTGTCCTTTATTCACCCCTCGAATGTTTAGTAACGTTTCACACGGGCCGCGGGCGGGAGCTGGGCGTGGTAGACGCCGAAGGGGTGCGGTTCTAGGGAGAGGGGGGAGGTAAGGGTGTGCCACACCCATTAGCAGATGCCCACTATTTTCAACAATACACTTACTTTCATAAACGCATCCTGGAATTTCTAGATCTGATTCATAATTCTTATATCTATTATTCGCACAGTATCATTGAAGTCACTGATTATTTTATTAATGTTATCTGGACATTCATTTATCATAATCTTTCTATTACATATATTGCTAAGTAAAACTCGATAAAAAAATCAAAGCCAAATTACAATGCAAAACGATAAATTATTAAAAAATATACTTATGTAGTTAATTTCGTAATTTATAACTTCAATAGAACTAGTGTTCGCCCAATTATCACGTAGATACCAAGAATCATTTTGTAATATATTTTCTGTTTTGTTTTATTATTGACATTTTACGAAAATAGAATTAACAATTTGCGATTAACAAAAAAATATCGTTAATTGTTATCAAACATAAAATTAATTTGATTGGCAAACAAAGGAGAAAATACTGAACTATTTCATCTTTGCCTTAATATATATTATATAGATTCGTTTTTCCAAAACACACTATCCAATTCATTTTGAGTCTAAAGTAGATATTTCCAAAAAAATGTATATTAAATCTGAACATGATCAGCCATTACAGAGGCCATTAAAGAGGAGACAAAAGATACACGACAATAGGGTTATAAATGTCGTCGAATAATGAACAAATTGCGTCCCTAACAGCCGCAAACAGCGTGTAATTGATAGCTGGCAGCTGCCTTCGGCCGCTCACGAGGATGTCAGCTTAGTCTATTGGCGACAAATTCGTTGCGGCTCGCACCCCTCGCGCTAAACAATCGCCGTGTTTGGTAGCGACCCCTAATTGCCCCCGTGGGGCGTGAACGATCCCCAGCATAAAGCTAAATACGCGTGAGATTTAATTCCGCAACATATCTCTTTAGGTGATAACAAATCACTCAAACACATTGTACGAGATTCTTTAGCGATTTGCCGCGACTTGGCTGTTTCCCTGGTATTGCCAACGTTTATAAACGACAATGACGGATTACCGCCTAGTGGGCTAAGCGTTTGTCTATTATCGATAGAGGAATTAATAGAAAAAAGTCTATCTACCAAATCAGAGACAGATTGAAGGATATGGTAATCGGAACGGTTAGAATGAGAGCCGAAAACGTTAGAGATAAGCGATAAAAATAATTAATGACAACAACAGATTAGTGGGTAAAGGCACTCAACTGGAGGAGCATTTCAAAAAATAATCTCAGCCTCTCGAACTCGACTACACACATTATTTTCGAGTGGGTCAACTTATTTGTGTATGATAATTCAACAATTTTGACTGCCATGATTTCTTTTTTTGATAAAACTTGTAACCTCTTATTCATTTGTCACTCTCGACTTAATTTATGATTTATTTTATGACTCATGTAAAGTTTAACAGCATAATGATAAGCGATATCGATTGAAATTAAATGATTTGTGATTTATTAAACGACTACACTCATTCAAAATTCATTGACATAATGTTACTTCGCCTACAAACCCCGTATCATAGTTTAGGTACGTTGAAAATTGAATACGCTTTAAAACTACATATTACTTAATGTTTAATTACAACATCAAATTCGTTTTTATTTAGTAGACGATATGATATTTCTACTACGAAGCAATCATGCTTTCTGATTTGAAGTGTGGTCGCATTCATGCTTAGTGATTCTGGATTCCAGCAAGTGATGGTGTTATAAAGTCGTTCTTGAGATATTCTGTCCAGGAAAAATAATTAAAAAAGTTTAACAATTTCAAGTTTAACAACTTAGATATTACTTTAGAATCAGAAAGATGCAAAGTTTCTCACTTCACTTAAGACCAACGGACATATTAACAAAGCGATAATTACTAATTCAAATTTGCCCTCCGTTTTTTCCCTTTGATCGTATTTAAAGTTTGAAATGAAAAATAAATAACGCGGTGTTAGCGTGTTAACGTTTATTCATATCACAAGATTTAACAAACCACTCGTATCTCTAGCAATTGATAAATCTAAAGCATTCCTACTTTTGTTTCACTTAATAAACACTAACCATACCAGACTTAAACAAGTTACATCTACTACCGAAACAATTAGATAAAATAATAAACTACATTTTGCCACCGTCCAGAAATTTCTTTGAAATTATTCTATCGTAATATATCTACTCTTCGCATGTCTCCTAGATTATAGAGCTTAGAAAAGTGTAACGTCTCAATAAAAATTAATCCGCTCCATAAATATATATGTATGTACCGTGTTAAACAAAATAATTCGTGTAAAATTAAACAAATTTAATTCATATTATATACAGGCGGTAACAAGACACAACCGTTTAATACTCTTGTCAAGCTTATCGTTTATCTTCGGATAAATATGTCATTTACTAAGATGAGTAAGTATACGGTCGGCTTAGGTACAGTTTTTTGATAACGATGTCAATTCTAGGATGATTATGTAAGAGCAAAACGATCAAACGGTGGATTATATACACGTGGAAGGTACATTTCCATCAAATACTACAGAAAGAATAATAATGTTGTTTAAAAAGTCGAAATATATACCATAAAATGCTAAGAGTTTTCTTAATTTGGTAAATTATTTTGTGAAATAATACAAATTCAGTAACATTATGAGACATCATATTTAAAAGAATATATGCCTAATTAATCTTATTTCTGCACATTTTAAAATGATGATAAGCATACATGTTTCAATTCTTATGGATTTATAGGAGAACCAATCGGTACGCGCGGCTTTGCCTGCGTGGCCGAAGAAAATTGTCAGAACAATATTCCATGGGTATACGATGTTTTTTCGGTATAAAAAGTCAAAAANCATTATGAGACATCATATTTAAAAGAATATATGCCTAATTAATCTTATTTCTGCACATTTTAAAATGATGATAAGCATACATGTTTCAATTCTTATGGATTTATAGGAGAACCAATCGGTACGCGCGGCTTTGCCTGCGTGGCCGAAGAAAATTGTCAGAACAATATTCCATGGGTATACGATGTTTTTTCGGTATAAAAAGTCAAAAATTCCACTCTCCGAACCTAAATCCATCATTAAAAAAGTCAGTCCGCTGCTTCACTTCCACGTGAAAGAAGGACAAACAAACACACAAATAACCAAACTAAAATATTAAAATATAATAAAAGTATAAACTGGGTAGCATGGATATTCAGCGACTATTTTTAATATGACATTATTTATCTGAAATCTGTTGGCCATGAAAATCGATAAATCACATGAACCTTACTGGGTTTATGATTTCTAGCATCTTTTCAGTGGCCTAATATTAAAACTGATGTTATGGAACGATAGTAAAAGCTAAATTATCGAATTTCAATTCAAAAATATTTAAAAATTATTGCTAAACCCGAAGTTTAGAATCGGACAGTATTAACTATCAAAAATGGCCCCTAAACTGCGCCAAAATAGGATTAGCCACAATGATGCGTTATCATTGGCGTTAATACCGTTTTAGATTAATTAGATTTTGCTTCTTATTAAAAAATATAATTTTATGGGACATACTGTAAAACTTTTCATGCAGGAGCCTATTTATTACCTGCTTAACCTGAATTTTCCTAATAATATTACCCTGGAAGATTTTTATTTACATTTAACTGTAACATTTTATTATCTTTAGTAAAAAAAAACACATTCACGTCACGAATTTACGCCTTCTTGATTTCTCATTAATAACAGTGGGGCGTATTTTAGCCCATACGATTAGGCACAACCACCACTAGGTAGGTACGTACAACCGGCACTACAATCACGTCTCAATGTCAATTCGGCATTCACATAACTCGTACAATGTTTTAAATTTGCTTAAACAACTTATTTAAAGTATGCTGTACGGCCGAAATTAGTGCTGGTTTTATCTATTTATTTATTTATAGTACGCATCTAAAAAACTGCTATGCTATATCCAAGGAGTAGATTGTTCGACGAAATAATAGCAACAGCAGAAAAAGAATTGAGAAGCAAAGCAAGGAATAGGAAAAAAGAGAGTAAGCTGGAAGAGGCCTATACCCGGAATGGGATTCCAATAACAGAAAAATGTTCATTAATTGACTTCCACGGTGAAGAAATAACATTGTGTAATAAAAAGCAAACCCGCAAAATTATAATTTGCGTAATTACTGGAGGTAGGACCTCTTGTGAGTCCGCACGGGTGGGTACCACCACCCTGCCTGCTTCTGCCGTGAAGCAGTAATGCGTTTCGGTTTGAAGGGCGGGGTAGCCGCTGAGACCTTAGAACTAGAACTTATATCTCAAAATGGGTGGCGCATTTACGTTGTAGATGTCTATGGGCTCTAGTAACCACTTTACACCAGGTGGGCTGTGAGCTCGTCCATCCAACTAGCAATAAAAGAAAAATATGTTGGAAATAAAAAGGGCTTATTATTATTTTATATGTACGTAATACATAATAATGTATATATAATACATATAATCTGTTACTTAAAAAAAACACCGTACCCAGGTATCTGATATGAAAAAACAAAGCGCGTACCTATTCATAGGATGGTTTATTATTTTTGATGTCGTTAATATGTATTAAGATATACCTACACTCAAAGCGTGCCTATCTACAGAACAACTTAAAACAATAAAATTGAAAATCTCTCGAAAAATATGAATATTCATCAATCGATTAAATAATCAGTGCTAACTGGTTTTATTTTTTATTTTATGCGAATTTAGTACTGAGAGTTTTACAAAAAACACTACCAGTGCTGATGAATAACAGTAACAATAAAAAAGAAAAACAGTAAGATACAGAAGAAAACGCGAGATGTAGTACAATTAAAAAAACATATCTTACCGTTGTTCTCATGATGATCCATAGACAGCCACGGCTGGTGATGCCTCAAAAGCTCATGTGAATATGGATGATGAGGAGGTGCATAGGACGGTAAATCCAAAGGGCAACCAAGCCCTCCCTGGGTGGTGTTGTTTTCTAGACCTTTGCCTTCATTGAGTCCAAGGATATCGGAGATCTGGAAGCCTGGTCTCTGACCGGGCATCTTCATACTGTCCAATAATCTGTGTGAATATAAAACATATGAAAAACTATGATATAATACTAATAATAAAAACTATTGCCTAAAGATTGTAGAAATAAACTATTACAACTTATATTTTATTTTTTAAACACTTTTTATACATACAACAATTTAAATTCACATATCGTTAGTAATAGAATAATCATATTATCTAAAAAAAAGTATATTTTGAATACTGAAAAAATTTACTTTGCAACGTTAAAACACATCAGTGAAATATAAAAAAACACACATGTAAGGTTTGTTAGACGTTACTGTGAACCTAGTATGTAGTAATTCAAGTATTTTGTACAGAAATTTAGTTCTCACTTTTCTGATTTACTTTGTTAAGTGATCTAAATGGGCAGAATGGAGTCACGGCGCACTGTACGTACTGTTAATTGCTCATCAATGACCTATAGATAAAGCGACGTAAATATCGCCACCTCCCTTGACCCAAGAGGTCGAAATCTTAATTGTATTTTATGACAACTCTCACACTATTATTACACAAAAACAATTCATTCATTCATTCATGAAAGCGTTATACTGTTTTTATATATTATATTATTATATATTTAAAAAAAAAAGCCTAAGACACCTTGAAACTCCGACGATAGTAATAAATAATTGAACATCACACAAACGGAAAGTTCTCTTGACTTTGAAAAATGTAAACCACTCCAAATCTAATCGTTTGTATTAGAAAAAAAGTTACTTCATCCTAACAAGTAACAAGCACGTTTCGATGGCATATAATTGAAAGAAAACATTCGAAATTCCGACGATTCCATTATTGTTAAAGTGGAACTCTCGAGAAAACGTGACCAATATAAAGGAAGATGTCTAAACAAGAGCTGCGCGCCCGAGCATGGGCTGTCTATCAATACATCACAATCACATTACACGTATCCGTGAACTGTTCCCGCGGTCCCGTACGTGACATCGTGAAAAGGCGGCGTTCATAAGAACCTTAACAGGTTGTAAACATAACTATTAACGAGCTCTTACTAAGAGATGCAAAAACTGTCACTGAGGATGTCACGATTTTTCGAATCCCCACTATCGACTTAGATTTTAACAAAGATCCGATATTGAACGATTATTCTGTAACAGATCAACTTATGATGGCTTGAACTGTTTGGCTTGAACTACGATAAAAATTATGAATAGAATTAGTTAAACTGCAGTGACATATTGAAAGTAAACTAAATGATCGCTCAGGCACCTGACACTCATTCATTTGAAATCGCTCACCCAGGAAATGCTGAACGAAAAGCCGCCGGGTAAAGTGCCGGTAGAAAAGCAGGTCCCCATGGTGGTAGTAAAATAGGACTCCAAGCGAGTAGCGAAGCCGGCGGCAGCAGCGGCGGCGGCGGTGACCGCGCACTTTCGCCCTCCTCGCACTTCATCTCCCGACCGGGAGAACTCGTTTTAGGAATAATCTTGATGGCTTCCAAATCACCCACGCGAACACGTGCTACGCCTTGCGACGTCGCGTCTGCACTAAACAACCCTCGAGTGGCCCTCGGGGTGAAGCATACCCCGCGCCGCCCTCGTGCCTCGACAGCCTACTCAGCTTTAGACTAACTTCGAGGGTGCTCAATTCGCCTCCACCAATGAATACGCTTCAGCGACTGGGCGGGACATTGGCCGACCAATCGCGCTAGCGACGAAGCCTTCCCAACAAAAAAATCTGGAGTATACACTTTGAACAGAGGAGCTTTCGACGTAGCGTGTTATGTTATGTCGCTTTTTGTAATGAGTGCGAGCATTAAGTCCATTGTTGAAGCAGGGTTCGTTATGGACGCCGCTCTAAATACCCGGATAACGATTTTCGTTTAGAGTGTTTTAATAAAGTCCGTGTAAATCCATGTTTGAGGATGTTTTTTTTTCATTTTGGTTTATGCGCATTGTTCACCCTTAAAAATACTTAAAATATTTTCACTTATAATCGCTAATAACTAAATGACAAATCTCTAAAATATCTTTGAAACTTTGAACCATATCAGCGACCGGCAAAAATAAAATAAAACAATGAAATCGGTCAAAACTCTCTTTTTTTTCCCGCAAGTGCATCGTTGTTATTAAATAGTTAGTAGTCGAGCAAATCGCTTGCACATGTTCGAGTTCTGAAGAACGCGGGCGGGCTCCTAAATTCCAAAACAAAAGCTTGTATTGTGAAGTTCTTCAACCAGGTAGAATAAGCAAAAAATTGCTATTAATTTATGACTTGCACGTGTGCAGTTTTCCTTTGAATTATACTTATTTCAAAAGGAACAACTTAAAATCTCCAATCAAGTTCGATTATTTCAATTATCGCCACTACATTACAGATTACACTTCTAATATTTCAAAATTTAGGAATATTGTGCCCCGTTCTAAAGAGTAGAACTAGGCCAATTCAATGAATGTTTTTTGGGTCGCAAGTTCAAGTTTTTATCTTAAAGTTCATAAATTAAATATGAATACTTGGTGGCTTTTATCATATTTTTTTCGAGACTTATCTCTACGTGGATGACAAACGTAAATAAAAAGATATGATTTGTTTTATGCTATTTTAGCTTCGCCCTAACATGTAGGTGAGCTCACGGGGCTCAAATCGGAGTGTTGCTAACATTGGCTCTAGCAAGAGCAGTGCTTCGCAGAATCTACCACCGGATCGGAAACGCGACCCACTGAGAAGATCCGGCGAGAAACTCAGTGGGCTAATGATTTGTACTAACTAGCGTTCATTACGTAAATTTTTCAATGCAGAATACATTTTTTCACAAGATGCTATTTATTGCAAAGGTGCTTCGTAAATATTAGTCAGTACTGATTACGCGAAGTTGAATGTAGGTACGTGATGCGTACATTTTATCCCTGAGATCATCTGCGAGATCGCGGTTTGTGAAGTCTTAAGTTATGTCCCACCATTTACGGCTTAATCCGTTTGGCTATAGAATGTACTAAGAATACCTATGTCAATCAATAATCTAACATCAATCTTTTAAAGCAGTGATCAGTACAAGCATAATTGGACATGTGGCTGGCCCAATTAGTTGGTTAAAATTATATTTCATTTTATAAAAAATCCCAAGTTCCTAATTTTAATCACAGTTTGATACGATTTCCAGTAGAAATATTAAATGTTTCCTGTTTTTGATAGTAACAGGTATTGTGTTTTTTATTTAGTCGTTTTAGGTCTATAATTCTAGCTTTATGCTTACACTATAAGTAGGTACCTATTTAGTTTACTTATATTTATTTAAATATTAATGCTTTGTATATTTCTGTACGGAAAATTATGTATTTACGTTTGTTTTATAACAAAGTTTTTAGTACTATATTATTATTAATACTATAGTATTATTCGGTCATTTTATTCAACTATATAATTTAAATTGTTATATTCACTATAGTTCACAAAGTGTTAAAGAGGGCCAATTATGCAAATATTTATAATTTATTTTATAAAAATAAGCACCACGAAAGAAATAGATGAAGAAAATTAAATAATAAGCAAAATTTTGTTTTGCTAATACACACACTTAAAAAATATCATTGTTACAAATACATTACAACCAACCACCTTAGACTGTACGATTGTATAAAAACTCTACGCATTCATCGTTTTTGTTCAAAGGGCAACAATAACAAAAGGCAATTATTTATGTTGGGAACTCACCCCTAAGTGGCGTGCAGCGTTCACGAAATGTTTAATTGACTTATTGAGAATGAGTTTTTAAAATATCTATCGTTACAATCGCCTGTGTGCTCATTGCTCATCGTTTTATTGTGAACATGTAGCACATACACACAAATTTTTCAGATAAATCTCTGTAGTTTTTAAAAATCCAAGAAAACAAAATCTGTGTCAGCGTGTAGATTTTCCATTTATAATACTACTAGCGACCCGCCCTCGCTTCGCTTCGGAAACATTAAAACACACATGAAAACAAAAAATTAAAATAAAAAAAGATTAAAAAAAGTAGCCTATGTTCATCAGGGACAATGTCGGCTTCTAATGGAAAAAGAATTTTTCAAATCGGTCCAGTAGTTTCGGAGCCTATTCGAAACAAACAAACAAACAAATCTTTCCTCTTTATAATATTAGTATAGATATTGTACTATACACATTTAGGTCAAAGATTTAAAACTAAATTTTACGCACGCGTTTATTATGGTAGCCGTAGGAATACTTAGGTACATAGAGTATCTTTCTGCATTGGCAGTCAGATTCAAAGACGATCCAAACAAATCAAATTCTATTTAAACTAAGATACTTTTACTACGTCTACAATAAGATCGGGACCAAGCCCAAACTGAGGGGGTTTCCCTGAAGCCCAAACCATCCATAAAGGGGCACGAAGACACCACGAGAGGATGGGACTTTGTTAATAAAGTAGGTGTTTATTTTTATAGAATTTCTGAAAGACGGAGCGATCCAGTGTTGGTTTATGTGTCTTCTTTCTTCTGTCTTCTGGTTTCTTCCTTCTTCTTACTTCTGGTTGCTCTTTATCATTTTTCCTCATGAATTTGACGACCGTGTATAAATGTAACTAATATCTTTATTGTTCTTCGTCAATTAGAGAAGTGTGCCAGAATCAATCTGTTTAATATTCCCATTAAATGTACATAGCGTGTAATGGAAATTGTATTCCCGAAAAAAGAGATAGTATTAGTAATACTACTGAACCAAATCTATATATATAAAAATGAATTGCTGTTCGTTAGTCTCGCTAAAACTCGAGAACAGCTAGACCGATTTGGCTAATTTTGGTTTTAAATTATTTGTGGAAGTCCAGAGAAGGTTTAAAAGGTAGATAAATATGAAAAATCTCGGAATTAAATAAAAATAATAATTTTGTTTTTCCTTTGATGTGTCCCCCGTCGGACGGATTCCTTTTATTTATCGATTGAGGCACTACGAAGTCTGCCGGGTCAGCTAGCAAATAAATAAAAATAGACAGCAAAACGTGTCTGACTTTTATCTCCAATTTAAAGTTAACAAAACAGAAAAAAAAACAAATCCACATATTTTGCTTATACTACGAGGAGTAAGCTGCACAGGCCAGATTTGTGAGGGGAAACCGGCAGGTGCGATGGCCCTCCCTCGCACGGATCACTAGTCACATATATTTCCTCGGGCACCATAATGTATCGAACTTGATTTAATACTATGATTAAAATTGATGTAATAAAATTAATGAAGAATAAAACTATATATATTAATGAAATTAAGAAAAATATATTGTCAGCTAAAATTCAACTAAAATGTTTTTATGAAATGTACAACCAATAGAACATTGCTTATGCCATTTTGAATTTGCAATACAAATAATCGGCCTATACTCAAGAATGACCATCTTAGTCATTATATTATAGTAATGTGAAATAGTAAAAAGCTACCAGTACCTATACAATCTACTATGAACATATTTTTTTAGCATTGTTCCCTTAATTAAGTGGGACTTAATGATAAATAGTAATATGTAAATATCTTTCCTACAACATTGGTCGTGTAAATTTTCAACAAATTTATTCGGGTATAAAACAAAACAATTAGGTCCGCCGCTTTTAAAAGACGATCGTACCATACTTATTTACATTGGTTAATGATAAAATAATGGAGCTGATAGTAGACACGATAGAAATGTAATTTCTTTAAAAGTATAATATTGAGGAAGCCGCGCCGTCGGTACCAAGCGCCGACGTCCGCTGCAAGAAAAAAAAAACTACCCCGTGACCAAACTGAGCACAGAGCTCCGTCAACAAATTACTTGGCAACTTTTTGCATAATGTCTAAAATGAAGCAAATTACTATTAAGAGTTCAAGGATTCGTATAACTTAGCAGTGTAGCTGTAAATCTAGAAGCCGTCACGACAAAGCCGCATTCGTGATCCACACAGTTCCAAAAAACAACAACAACTTCTACGGGGAGAATACAGTCGGCACCTACACTACTTAAGGTGAATTTATGGCTGACGGAACTACTTTACTCAGAAGTTAAGTTCGAACTCTCTGTTAGTGAACTAACCAACGTCGATACGATTTCACGAATATTTCTTTACGGCAATCTGGTTAGGCGGGCTGAGACTAAATGGCTGATGGCACGCCAACTTACGAAGAGGGTTTCCAAGCCAATTAAGGGCTTCACGAAGCCATGGGAGAGGACACAGCTGTTCGCTTGCGAGTTCGATGGTACTCAGTGCCGATTCATCGATGTCGAGACTATAAGTGTGGGTCACGCGAGCTTAACCAAGCATTCAACCGTAACATAAAGTAGATAGACGCATAAATTTGACGTTGAATAGGCAACTTGTACTTCTGAATGTTTTACATCGTTACATATAGCTGTATGTCAGCCATTGTAAGCACTAAATCGATTAGATGCCTTACAAAACAAATGATTCACCGGTTCGAATTAATCACGCTATCTTCTAGTTAGTTGGTAGCGTTTTGCAAA